CCAGACTGACAGACTGGGGGGGTGGAAAGGGCGACGGAAGGCAAGCCAGCAAGAAATAAACAAACGCACAACAACAAATTACCGAATGGACAGACTTAGCTTCAAAGTAAAGCCTGACTGACACACATAGAAGCTGCATTCGGGGCCAAAGAGGACAGAGAGAGAGATGTTGGGTGGCAGGCATTAAATAAAGTTGATGCGTGTGTGTGTGCCTCTGCGCATTTTATGAACACACACTCGTCAGGTTGCCAAATACATGACTTGAAATGTGTGATTATTTAGCTGGTTATTTATGGATTTGACAGGGAAAACAGCTTTATTGTTATAACAGAAATTCTGCTATTCCATAGTCGATTATTCCTGACAGTCTTTTTTTTTCAATTAAACTTTTCAAATGTGAGGACATGCTGCTTTTCTCAATGCTGTTGTTCATTACAGACCAACAATTCATTGTTTGCTGTGGAAAACAAACCACACATTAATTAACAGTGAGAAAGTTGTTAGTTGCAGCGCTACGGACAAACCCATGTTGGAATAAAATCGGCGCGAATACTTTCAAAACTCCGGAATCAACCACGTTGGTAACCTTCAGTCTTTTTTCACACAGCGTCGCGGGGGGGGGGGCGCATTCACTGAACAACCTAATCCTCAGAGCATGTTTTTGGACTGTAAGCTGAAGTCTCGGGAGAAAACCCACGCAGACACGGGAGGAACCAGAAGACAACCCACAGAAAGGCCGCGGGGGGGGGGGGGGTCCAACCCTGGACCTTCTTGCTGTGAGGCGACAGTGCCTTTTTGTAAATAATAATTAAGAAGAAAAAGAAATCCTTCTAGAGTAGAGTAAAATAAATCACCCTGAAAATCTCTCTCAAAGACTTGCCGGGTAGCATAATCAAGACGTGGGATAAGGAACATGCCTATAGTGCTAATCCATCAGGGGGAAGAGTGAGAGGGAGAATTAACGTTGTCAAAATGCACCGGGGAACCACGGAATAGTGAATCAGAGGCCCGTGTATACACAAGAGGACCTAATTAGGCCATACGGGGCATTACGGCAGCATGCAGATGGCTAATGCTGCCTTGAAGACACTTAGCATGCCGGTGGATAGCCTCACTGCACAGCCCATTAGTGCTCTTCCAGGCCATTTCAAAATACAGTTCCTGACAGCGTAATAGTGTGACTGATGGCAGCCTGCTTGAATACAGCTGACTCGCCCTGATGCTGTGATAGCACTGTGTGTCTTTGTGTGTCTCTGTCAGAGTGAGTGTGAGACTTTCAGACATGGGACATGCTTTCTCTTTTTCCTAATTTGTCTCTCGGTGCGTGCTGAGGACACAAGTTCTTCTTAATTCTGTGGCTCTTGCTGCCTCGGATCACCAGCAGTCCTCCACTGGTCTTAAGAAAGGTGCAATTTGGTGTAACCCTTATTATTCTGGATGAGGTCTAACGCCACTGATTGTATTGTTGTGAGATTGTGAGAATGGAGCTGATGGTACAGAGTTTAAAATAGATTGAGTTGATTCAAAGACTATGAATAAAATGCTAATGATAGCATTGGGGATGTACTATGAAGAGCTATGGGGCCCACGGTGTCTATTCTAATGAGCAAAGAGGGGAGACACAGCGTGGCAAGAGAGGACGATCAAAAGGTCCTGGGAGGGTGCAGTGAAAGTGGCTCTGTTGGCACTTATTCCGTCTTTCAAGCTGGTTAATGAAGCACTTTCACCTTCTCTCTTCAGTCTTTGCAGGTTGCTTATTCGGTAGGGGATCACATTAGGCATGTGAAAAATGTGCACATGCATTTGTGTTCGCAAGCATTCACAACTGGAGTTCAAATGGCGTAATGTAAAAGGTGTCTGGAGGAAAATAGTGCAGCGGGGGAAGTATCTCTGTCAGTATTTTCTCTCAGCTTCTCTCTCAGTTCACACGTTTGATGATTAGTGAGTTTTGTTGAGGGCTATTAAATCTATTGATCTCCAGAATGTCAAAGGCTATGCTCTAATCTGAACCACTGGAGAAGGCACAGTCTCTGAAGGATACACTGCAGTTCATTCCAAACCATGAAATCTGTTATTAAATCTTCAAAATGTCTTTTAATTTTCAATGAAAATCAACTTAAGAATGTCCTAATATAAACTGTAATTTCCGATACGAGCCCCATGAGCTATCTTACTCTGTTCTGTTTGAAGATAATCATACAAGATATCTTTCTAAATCAAGTGTGATCATCTCATTACATTGTCCCCGATTGTTCTTTTCATTGTCAGGGAAATTAAAGTTTAGAGGGAATGTTCAATTTCATGTCAGCATAAAGGTTTTGTGCGACAAATTCAGCCTTCAACCACCCTGGAAAAGGCATTTTTGTCTGAAATGATGGGCTCCGTCCATGGATGCAGGACTAGTATCCAGTGCTGATCTTTCTTACTTGTACTCTCTGCAGCGATACGAGCCGGCAGTTTAGAAAATTACCCCGGTAACAAGTTATTCAGCAGGTTTCTCCCTAGGCTGGTCAAAGCATTTATTCCTCCTCTCCTTCTACCTCCCAACTTTTGCCGTTGCTGCTATTAGCATACTTCATCTTAAATATTAGTCCGTCATCCTAAAGGACAGTTGACAGGAGCTGTCGAGTCGAGATGCCAACGAGTCCCGCATTTCATTTTTGGCAGACAGATTCTGTGTGAGTGTTTGCATGCTTGTGTTTCTCCGTGGGAGTGAAGGCCAGAAGCACAGCCACAGAGATGCGAGACCCTTATTGAACACAGGTGCCTGGTATTCTGAACACAGGCGAGCTCTGTTGAGTGCCAGCAATGATTGGTGTCCACCTCCATGTTCTGCTGCAGAGGTGGAGACGGCTGTCTGACACTGAGACCCGGTTTAATCAAACCATTTGTTGAACTCCCCGGATCACCTGCCTTTAAAAACCCGCGTGCTATTCAGAGCTACTCGACGACTGATGAAAAAAATAAACAATATTGTGCCGATGGAAAAAGAAATCTTCAGCAACAGAGGAATGTTTCACATTTAGCATCCTGAGGATTAGAATGCAGTCAACAAATCATATCTTGCACCGAGCAGTTTGTGCGGAGGTCTTTTTAGAAGTTGTTTATGTAGCTCTCATGTGTCAGGCAGCAATGTCTGAATGCAGATGTCTCTTTCTGCCGAGTTACAGCTGCAGTCGGCATTGTGGAACATTGTTTCACCCTGTTAATGTCTGCCGCAGGCCGCAGACGTCAGCAAATACGATCTCGATACAAACGTTTCCCTTTTTTTATTTTACTGAAGTCATCAATCATGATTGATCAACGTTTCTCAATTGCAGAATTTGGAGAGCGGCACTTAACACGGGAAATGCTTTGTTTTTGGGTGCTTCATGAGGCAGATGGATAAAACAACAATTTAAATGCAATGTTCTTTAAACACCACGGTATTTCATTGTCAGCTTGCACAACCTTTTTTGCTGTGTATTATTTAATGTTATGCTAATCTTAAAAGTAGAAACGTAAATTTACATTTACCTGGCTTGTCAACAAATCTCACTAGTGACATTTAGTCATCTACTTCAAAGCTGAACATATTTTGATGCTTCTTCAGCTTTTACAATGCAGAATAAAATCCAGCGGAGCACTCGTCCTGCCTTCCTTTCACGGGTTCCTCGTCCATGTCAGAGCTAAAGTGTGTACACTGCTCTACATGCCTCCACAACCCCCCCACCAGAACACCGAAAAGCTTTTTCTACTCCCATCACTCCACCGCTGAGCGGCTCCCAAAATATTTATTTCCACTATTGATGTTATTTTCCTTTTTTTTTGTTATTTTTTGTTATTTACCTCCCCTCCTGTTGGTCTGAATGAGGGTCACCAGATGGTCGGCAATGTCTTTTCTTGGTATTTTCTATTTATAAAATCAGCTTATTCTGGTACAATTCATGCACTCTGTCAACACTCTATATTCATAATGCATCCTCTCAGTATGTTGCAGTTCTGGTTCATTGAACACCTTGTCATTTTATCCATATATTTTATAAAACAAATAAAAAAGTTTTTTTATTTTTACTTATTTACTTTTAAAAAGGCATTCAAAGTAAAAAAAGGTAGAAAAGTGCAAAGGATTCTCATCAGAGGTGAATTTTTTCCCCCCTAAATTGTCATTATATAAGTCTATCCAGTGCTGAAGGGCATTGTATTTTTACACGACCATTATCAGCAAGGGAAATTAAAACTATTCTTATCTCTGCTGCGTGCTGAATGGTTTTCCTTTCATTTTAGAAAAACAATTTTCACTGTTATTATTATAATACAATTGGCAATCTTAAGCCACTTGTTTGGACTGTAAATCCAAACTTAATTAACTCCTCAGTCAGTAAACTCTTCGAGCCGTATTAACCAGATTACTAACAAAAGAGCAAGCTTTTTGTAAAAAATTCCTCGCCCTGGCTTTTCAAGGGACCAATGGATACAGAGTAATTCTGTTATTCCTGTTACTGTGACATGCAGATATCAGAACTCACAATGAGGGTAAATTTGAATGTTGTGTGGCTCTATAAAAAAAATAACTTAGAAGCTAAGAGGCCTCTAAGTTCTTGATAATTGTAAATTACCATAATGAACAACTCAATGATATCATATGAGGCAATGGGTCTTGCCCCATATGTTCCATATGAAAGTGCTTTCTGTAGAGATTCATAGATAGAAGTTGTGTGTGCAGCAGATGCTTAACCCAAATAATGGGGAAAATAAAGGCCTGATTTTAATGCTGTGTTACATGAGGGCCATGCTGTCACTGAAAGAAAGAATAAATATTTCCATATGGAAAAAAAAAACTCTCGCAATAGGTTGGAATCAAATCAGTTAAGTCGTTAAGTAGCAATTCATGTGGTTAATATTCATATTTTCAGTACCACACATATTGGTTTTCGCTACCATAAAAAAATGACTCCAAATACACATACGCACAAATGTCTGCCTGTCACACTTCCACAGCTCAACCACCCACTCCTCACCATAGCTAGCGGCACGATGCCACCCAGGTCCTGCGGTGCCAGGCGGATGAGGGTCGGCACCTCACTGGTCAGGGTCCGGGTTAGCGGGTACTCCACCTGCCACGTCACTTCCCGGCCCCCCTGAGTCATCATCAGCCCGTTCACCTCCAGGTCCACCTGCAGGACCCGCTGGTAGCCCGGTGCCTCGGCCCTGCGGATGGGAAGAAGATGTGTGTCAGCAGCAGTCGGCAACTGGAACAAATGGAAGTGCGGTGGGCGTAAAAAAAAACAAAAAAACAATGAGAAAGCAGGATGGAGACAGTGAGACATCAAAAGGATGGAGACATGAGAGGATGAGAGTGAAACGAGAAGATGATGAATAGTAAACATGAAATAGGAAGCATGTTAAAGATGGTGAAAAGAGAGGAAAAAAGGAGTAAACGGAAGATCGTTAATGTTCAAAGGACTGAGACGGCATCGGCTGTATATTTTAATCAGCTCGTAGGATGTAGAGGGTGGTTCTGATGTATTACATGAAGGTGGTGCAGAGGGGTATGCTATTTTTTTTTAAGGATCATCTCACGGTCTGATATGAAACTAATCGCTAAAGAGATTCATTCTCGCATCCACATAGGACCATGATGTTGCAAAAAATAAAAAAAGAAGAGAAAGAAGCAATTTATTACAATTTATTTTTTCCCCCCTGCAACACAGAGCTTCTCTTGCAGAGATTGTCACGACCAAGACAATCATTTTCCTGCGGCGGATGGAGATGCAAACAAAGCAGGAAAAAACAATGAATACCAAATAAAAAGTCCTCTAAACTTGTTTGATTTGCTGAGCACTAGGTTTGATCAAGCCGGTGCCTTTCCCTGCAGGTGTTCTTTGCCACAGGCAGAACCCAATGCAACACCTTCTCCAGCAGCCGCGCGCAGCGAAATACAATTTGCACTTGGTGATCTGAAAGAAGCGTTGACATTCATGTTGTGTAACTGTACTTCTTTCCGTGGCATTAAAAACAAAAGTCAAAGGAAATTCAGGAGGGATTATGTGAATGTGTTTGGGCTTTAGTATAAAGTTATGTTTAATGTATACAGATACGCTTTTTATTCCTCTCTCGATCCAAATGTTTGTTGTTTAGTTTTTACACAATTAAAACAAGCCTGGAGAGAGCACAAAGTGAAGAGGAGGAGGAGGAGCGGGGGGGAGTCGAGGGTAAGATCCAAGGTTTTCCTTGAACACATTGTGGACAACCCTCTATTTAAAACTCCCCCTTATGTGTTCACACTTCAGACGCTAGCCTTACTTCAAAGTGCAGATTTAAGGACCCTTTCTGGAAGAAAACTGTTTGGGAAGCCAGAAATCAGTGTGGATAAAAAAAACGGCTTTTATAGCAGTTCTGGGTCAGGCAAAAAAAATAGAACGCTTTTCCGTTTTAGTGCGTAATGTTCTGAATTATAATAAATATGTTACACAATGCCCCCGAGAAGCTTAAAGATTTACAGACTAATACAGGTAGGTATACTGCGGTGTAGCACATCACAGTTGGTGGTGGTTATTTGTAATATTGTTCACACTGTCGAACGACTCTCGACCTCGACTGAAAGCACATCCAAAACTCCTCCGTCCCACGAAATCAACTTAAGCTACAGTATAAGGGTGGTGGGAGTTGATGCTTTTTGTTATTCTCAACAAATCGCATGAGCCGAATAATTCATTCGTCATTCTTAAAGGCGGCTTAATCTCGTGTCCCGCTGCAGCACCATTGTAGTAAAAAAAAAAGAAGTCAATTCAACGTGTTTACTCGTTCAGATAAACAGACGTCCTGCTGACTTGTGTACTTAGTTGAGCACCACACTTGTACCCGTCAGTTTTACTCTTTCCTGTTTGAACAGTGCTTGTTAAATACACACTGTATATTCCATAATGCCAACCTCATCCCTTAATATTTATTGGCCAACGTGGCAAAAGATGAATGTCAATGTACTGTATGTTTACCGTATATATATATTGTGTATACACATACTCATTACCCGCCCTCTGCATTCCATTATACACCAACAATCCCATTTATGTATAAATCATTTTCAAATTATAAGTAGTTCTATATTTGCGTTGTTTTGTGCTGTAGAAAAACCCAAATCAAAACCGTGAGAGGGGATCTATCGAATAGTGAAAAATTAAAATCATTGCCAAATATTCCTGCAAAATGAGATGCAATATGAAATTACTGACACACAAGGAACATTATGTCTCCGTTTTGAACCATGTTTTCATGTCGGGGGCCGTTTCCAAATTTCCAGTCAAATTTGATGCTCTGTGAAATGCATTTCCATTTTATCAGAGCAAAACATCAAAAGCAAAACGGAGGAGCAGCTAGAAGCAAACATCTCCCACAACCCACCCTCTTGATCCCAGACTGTAGTGTTACTTATATTTAATGTCATACTGAATGATACTTGTAGTTTAATGGCGCTTGCTGACACCCTGCTCTTTTCCTTTTTAATTTTATTACCAAGACAGAAATCATGGATACTATGGAGCCACACGGGGGGAATTCTGTGCTGCCTGACAATATGCAGGGCTCAGGAGTAGTGACTGCAGTGATTATGTGCTTTACGCTTATGGTGTACAATTACAGCCCAATCAATTGCTGTACAGCGGAGCTGCGGGCAATCAAAGCTTTAGTGCTGCATCCTACAATACAACTCCCCGTGACTCCACATTTAATTATTTTTTCTGTTGTCTTGATTATTGTGTCATTGCTTTTGTCTCTGCTCTTTTTTCATCGCCCCCCCCCCCACTTCTCTAACTTATCTAAATACTCTGGCTCGCCTGCAGTGCAACGTTGCACCCAATAGAGGGCGGTTCCCGCCCCCCCCTCGCCCCTTTAAACCAGTGTGTGTTGAGCGACGATGAATATCTGCAACCCTCTGGTCCCAGAGGTCGGCCTTCTTCCTCCCCTTTTTCTCGGGCCAGATTACCGCACAGTTCAACGGTAACTGTTGCTTCCGCCTGGAGGTGGAACGGCGAGCGGAAGGAGGGTTAAAGCCACTCGCTGCACTGAAAGCAAAAATGAGTCCTGGGGATCAAAGAAGTGACTCTTCCACTGGCGTACAAAAGGCGGACACTGACAATGGCGCGTTATCGCAGCGGGTCTGTTGTGGGGCAATGAGGTGGAAAATTGGTCGTGTCTTTTTGACGAGGCTTCTGGAGGCATCTCCATTTGTGGGTCCTATTGTTGGGTGTGAAAGCACGAACGGAGGAAGGTAAAATAATTCCCTCTGAGGAAAATGCAAGAAGACTTTCAATTCGGTATGATACATTTCAAACCCGCCCCCCCGCCTCCCCCACCGTAGTAACAAAGTGGGCTCTGAGCGATGAGAAGCGGAGTAACCGCGAGAAAAATGACAAGAATAAAAAAAAATGTAAAAAATCCTTTTGTTCAGAAACAGGGAAGTGAAAGTGGAACCAAGCAACACAAAGGCCCCGTTAAACGTACAGCCGTGTTTTCCTCTTACACCTCGGTGGGTATCTGGCTCTTTTGAAAAGGTAGAGAAAGAAAGAGTGTGCTGTCTCCTTTGGAGACCCGAGGGGCTTCCTTTCATGCAGAGCGGTGATTTGGTTAGCACTGACAACAATGATACATGAAAGACCTGAATCTATTGCGACACAGCGAATCGACAGCGAGTCCAACGGTGGAGGGAGAGACGCTTCGTATGTGTGTGTCTGCTTGTGTGCTTACATTCTCCCAAACCTCAAACAGCTCCATTCAGGTAAAAAAGGGGGTCTTGTTCGCGTTAATAAAGGGAGCCGGAAGACAACGGGACTGACTTCACAGGCAGCAAAGCAGTGCGAGGACGCGCGGCACGTAAAGCTGCACGTGCTCACATTTCCGTGCTGTGTTTTCCTGCCAACGAGATCCAGTTTTGGTTGGTTTGCGCAGGCTGGGGATGTTTGTGCTCGCGACCTCGTGCGCTCGCACACTCCGCTTTCGGCGTTTGTTTGGACTCCGGGTCGGACAAGTAAGGGAGGAGGACATCTGCGAAGAAAAGGGACTTCCAAGAAAGATGCGTTTATGACGCACAGAGGCTGACTGCTCAGTGACTTCTATATTACGCGCTTATTGACGCCGTTAATCGAAACGCAGATGGCATGTTGGCCGCAGCCGTAGTTAATGTCTGCCCTTGGAAATCTTGATATTTTAAAATGAATTATGTTTGTTGGCTGTAAGTGGATTTCAAAGGTCAGCAAACGATGCTCGTCACAGTGTCCTGGAAGTCAAAGGGGGACGTCTTGGACGAAGGAACTTCAGCTTCATTTTTGGACCAGACAAAATGTTCACATATGAAATCTACAATGATACAAAATAGAGGAAGCAATTGATCACATTAATCACAGGCTAAAAAAATTGCCATTGAGAATGTGGTAATTTAATTTAATTTTAACTAGGAGGCCTTTTGCTAAAGCAAAATGTGAACCGGTGGAGAAATTGTACCGACGACGGTTTCCATCGCAGTAATTAATCCTGGCATACAGGATTAGCAGCACTTAAGGACTTGAGACAGTGGGCGGGATGATCTTTTATGTAATTTGGTGATGTGATGTTGAAGAGTCAGAGCCATCAGCCGTGAATTCTGACTGCTGCTTTTTGCGGTTTATTTCTCCCTGTTTCATTGGAAAAACGTGTTTGTGCTAATAGTTATTGAAGCTTTTCTTGAGGAAGGAAAACGGCTCACAGCCTCGCTAATAGTTAATTCAGCAACAACAATAACGGAAGGAACTTTTGCTTCATCGGTGACAGAAACGTGTGTGTTTTCACTGACTTCCTGGAGATCGTATGCAGCTTCAAGCTTGATTTGCAAGATTTAAAGCTGATTATTCATTTTTAAAATTCCTCTAACTGTGTCCAAACTCGTGCTAGATGTCTCCTCTTCTTCCAGTCCTTATGCTGTACTTACTTGATGAACTATTTAATAATTTCTTCTTGTCACTGAATAACTTCCAAATGTGTTGAACTATTCCAAAGATGTTTTGTTGAGATGTGACTACTTTTCTGTCTTGTGTGTGTTCGATGACACGGATGATCGACTTGTGCAGCTGTTTTAATCATTTGTGGCTCACTTACCCTCCAGCTGCGCTGTGAGTGTTTGACCGTATTTGGAGTCTGATGTCTCTCAAACAAATACAATTTGTTTTAAAGACCTCACG